TGTTATACTTACCTACATGCCTCCAGCTTCCATCCAGCACACACCACACGATCCATTGTCTACAGCCAAACTCTATGATACAACCGCTTTTGGTCCAACCCCTCAGACAAAGACAAACGCCTACAAGATCTCTGTCAAGCATTCTTAAAACTACAATACCCACCTGCTGAAGTGAAAAAACAGATTGACAGAGCCAGAAGAGAACCCAGAAGTCACCTACTACAGGACAGGCCCAACAAAGAAAATAACAGAACACCATTAGCTGTCACCTTCAGCCCCCAACTAAAACCTCAGCCCCCAACTAAAGCGCATCATCAAAGATTTACAACCTATCCTGAAAAATGATCCTTCACTCTCTCAGATCTTGGGAGACAGACCAGTCCTCGCTTACAGACAGCCGCCCAACCTGAAGCAAATACTCGCCAGCAACCACACAACAAAAACACTAACCCAGGAACCTATCCTTGCAACAAAGCCCGATGCCAACTCTGTCCACATATTTATTCAAGTGACACCATCCTAGGACCTAATCACATTAGCCATGCCGTCGGGGGCTCGTTCACCTGCACATCTACCAATGTGATATATGCCATCATGTGCCAGCAATGCCCCTCTGCTGTGTACATCAGCCAAACCGGACAGTCTCTATGCAAAACAGTAAATGGACACATCTGACATCAGGAATCATAACATTCAAAAACCGGTAGGAGAACACTTCAGCCTCTCTGGCCACTCAGTAAAAGATTTAAGGGTGGCAGTTTTTCAACAGAAAAGCTTCAAAACTAGACTCCCAACGAGAAACTGCTGAGCTTGAATTAATATCCAAACTAGATACCATTAACTTGGATTTGAATAGAGACTGGGAGTGGCTGGGTCATTACACATATTGAATCTATTTCCCTAAGTTAAGTATCCGCACGCTTTCTTGTCAACTGTCTAAATGGGCCATCTTGATTATCACTACAAAAGTATTTTTTCTCCTGCTGATAATAGCTCATCTTAACTAATTAGCCTCTCACAGTTTGTATGGCAACTTCCAACTTATCTGTGTGTGTGTGTGTGTGTATATATATATGTATATATATATCTTCTTACTATATGTTCCATTCTATGCATCTGATGAAGTGGGCTGTAGCCCACGAAAGCTTATGCTCTAATAAATGTGTTAGTCTCTAAGGTGCTACAAGTACTCCTGTTCTTTTTGCAGATACAGACTAACACGGCTGGTACTCTGAAAAATAACACAAGTAAATAGTCAACCATCTAGTAAATAAGAAATGCATCATTCTCCATTTTCTAACATAATAAAAATGTGAGTTAAGCTGTATACTTAAATGTGTGTAAATGTAGTATATCCTGATTATTAAAAAGCAGCAAATTTAGTGTAAAGGCTATATTTTAATTGCAAACCAATCCATTAACCTTGGCTTAAATCTGTTTTTTCTGCTTGCTGATTTTAAATAATTTGATTTAAATCTTTTTTTATGTAAACCAGTCCACTCTAGGAGATCGTCTGTCATATCTTTTAGGTTATTGATTTGACTAAGATCCCCAGGACCTGAGGAAGAGTCCAGTTCAGTATCGCTGCCGTTTAAGAATGCATCACTTTCTAGAAATTTCAATCTAGAAACTTTAGAATTAGTGTGCCCCTGCAGACTATTGGGTAGGAGTGTAAGTGAACTCCTCCATGGGAATCCTTTTAGTAGCCCATGATGCAGGAAATGAACCAAACACTCCCAAAGTATTCAGAAAATAACAAACAATCTCATCCTATACTGCAGCATTATAGAAATAGCATAAGCTGCTGCTTCATAATATAAACTTAAATATTATATTACCAAGTAGGAATCCTGTCAAATGATAGCCAAAGCACAGGGGAGAAAACTTAACCCTTATTCCTCTGAAAATAAAGCACACCGATCCAATAAATTAACTCATCATTTTGATTCCATCTGGTGTCCCATATTCTAGAATTTTTCAAAGTAGAACTTAGTGTGTCGATTTTTAGATTTTATAAAAGAAGTGGAGTATTTTTGAAATGTTATGAATATTTGGATGTATAACATTAAGCAAACTTGCTCAGTAATGTAACTAAGGAGCAAACTTTTTTTATGATCTTATCTTACCGTTCCTAACATGTAAGCAGTACTGCGTGTGCATAACTGTTTTTTGCAGAAACTAATAGCATCTACCTTTTAGAAAGATTTCCAATGCCAAAAACAATGCAATCAGTATCCAGTAACTTTTCTGAAGAAATTTTGTTCACTGAAGTACAAGTAAAAGCTGTGATATTATCATGGATGGTATTAGATATTTAGCTTCTAATTTTCACAATGAAGATTTTATAATTTTATGCAGGATGTGGAAAAATATTGGGGGGAGACAACTAGGACTGGATCTCTGATATTCTGATTGAATTCAACGTAGGTTTACAGTTATTTTGTTATGACTATAAAGCTGCATTTAGTAAGTGACACAACAAAAAAAGTTGTCCGGAGACTGGTTATTAATATATTTTTATGCAAGGTGATATGTAGCCTTTCAGTAAATTGATTTACAGATTAGGTCTGCAAGCTTTTTCCTTTAACACTGCATTAGCCTTTGCATTTTTGTGTGACTAAACAATTTCTATAATACCTTTGTTGTCCCCCTTGATATTTAAAGTAATATGAGACCTAAATAATACGAACAAGGCAGCAAATCTAAATTAAAAAAGAAAGCTATATAGCTAGCAGCAAGTGACCTTATACAGATTACACTGTGTAGGGGTTAACGTTTTCCCTGATTTACTATATAAATAGAAATCAACACAGAGAACATGCAGCAATTGCAAAAGTGCAGAAGACAGTCAAGAAAAGGATACAAATAGTAAACTGGCATAAAGGAGTCAAAATTTGCCAAATTCTTCAAATGTGATATCAAATGGCTTGTAAATTCTCACCATTGTAGTAGTTTTTGTGCTGTAGTGTGCACCAAAAATGGATTATGAGCTGCTCCATAGTTAATGCTGAAGCTAGTTTCTAATTACAAAGCTGATTATCAGCCCTATTCCCCTTGCCCCAAATTTCCTCAAAAAGAAGCCAGTCTGCTTGAAAAGGAATATTCCAGATATCATTCCAGGATATACATTTTTAGGGAAACTTGGAAACATCAGAAAGGGTATTGTAAAGTTGTGTTTTAAAAAAGTCTTTGACTTTTTTAAAATGTTGTTGTTTTGTTGGCTTTATAAAGGAGAAGAGCCTTCCTGTTTTTGGTGAGGTGGGTACCCAGGATATTGAAAAAATGTGTAATAAGTAAGTGATTGGGTGAACATCCTGCCTATCTTAGAATGAGAGTATGGGGTCTTGAATTTTCTCTTTAGAGTAGGTCTAGAGGGAGGTGGCACAGGAAGACTGAAAGAAATATATTGAGGAGAGGAAGAAGTGTACACGCCTTCACTCTCTCCCTGCCTCAACCTAGCAGAGGAATAAGATCAGAAAGCTACCAGACTCAAGAGGAACTGCAAAACTGAGCATTTTACTATAGTGTTTAGAAGAGACACATAGTATTTTAAAGATTGTTCAGTTTGTTCCTCCACTCCTGACCCATCTCTTGTTTGCTATTTTGCTTTTCTTGTCTTGTTTAGTGGGGTGGGAAATTGGATACAGGGGAGGATAGGAGCCTTGGAGGGGAGCAGAAGACTGGTGAGACATGGGAAGAATGCAGAGAACAGGATGGGATACAAGAGAGGCATGAAAGGGGTGAGGTGCAGGGCGCTGGGAGATATGGAAAAGGACAAAGAAAAACAAGGTGTTTTATGTGTATTAAGCTTTGGATACTTAGAATTCTCTAGATATAGAACTTTTTTTCACTGTGAATAAATTTCCCCATCCTTTATTCACTATCCCCAAATCTCAACCAGGTATAACTCTCCCACTCAGTACCCATTCTCACAACCCCTCATATGGACTTGCTAAAATCTGTGGGAGAGGGGAAACACTTTTGTGAGCTTCATAAAATATTGGAGCAGAGCTCTCCTGTTATGGATTCTGTGTATCAACTCCATTTAAAATGTTAACAATCATTAATAATCTGGGAGATTCCCAAACAAAAAAAAACTGAATTAAATTTGAAGGTGTGTTTCAGTGGAGTCTAACATACATCCAAAAAAACCTATATTGTCTTTACAAAATTTTTGCACCTTTAAAATAAACCCAAATGTTAGTCTGTAAATGAACTTTAAAGGATCCAGCCATTTCTACATTGCCATATTATTCATTACTCACTGCAAAGAGCCTACTCAATGTATTTGTAAAGTTAAAAACATAACAAGGTCTCTCTCTCTCTCTCTCTCTCTGTGTATATAGATATATCTATCTATCAGTAGTTCCATAAACCTACATCAAGTAATCAGTTCATTTAATAATAAATAGGTGGATTAAGAATTCCAAATTATAATCTTAAAATATTCTTCTATACCAATACATGACTTTGAGAATTTACAGAATTCTTACATGATTGATTGTACTTCGGAGCTATTTCTTTCACAGTCTTTGCACATCTTACAAACAATAGCTATAAAATCAATTAAAATATACAGCCAGTGACATATTTCCATTACAGAACAAAGAAAGTTAAAATTGGATGGATGATGCAAGTGGAGTGAGTTATTAGTAATAAGAAGGATTATATTCTGTGGGGGAACTAGCTGGATCCTTTAACTGTACTTTTACAGACTGTCATTTAGAGGTTTTTTTAAGGTTTTTTAATTTATTTTTGGGGTTAGCTGGGCTTCACTGAATTGCTTTTCAACTTCAGTTCTTCTTAAAGTCTTTTCTGTTTGAAATGGTCTTAATTATTCTCAGCTATTGTGATTAGCTAACAATTTATTACTGATACAAATTGACTTAAGAGGTAATTTTTCAAGAATTCTAATTCTTAGGAGGGTATATCATTAATTGCATGAATGTTCTGTCCAACTGGTATTGTATTGACTTTGTAATTCTTTTATTTTCTTTTAGGATCTTAACTTATACCTTGAAGACAAAGTCTACCTTGCCAGAAACAACTTTACCTTAGCAGATATTTTAATGTATTATGGGCTACATCACATCATAGTAAGTAATATTTAATTACTTTTCTATTATAACCATCATAATCATTAATGCATGTGAGTAATAAACATTTCTTGTTTTAGAAGATTGCTAGCTAAGTAGAAATACTACTTTTTCCATTCTGTAATTAACATTCATAAAAGGGCAGAGTTTTGTGGAAGTGTTTCAGATTTAATTTACCTTTAAATGTGGCCCTCTGTTTAAAGTAGTATTTAGCTGTGGAATGGGCAAAGGGAGTGTCATATCTGTAGTTTTTGGATAAATAGATTTAAAACTGTCCTTTATATAATGTGATATAAGGACACTATATGTGACTTTTATTCCCTGACTATTCTAGCTTGGTGGCAAAAGTGTGTACCATTACCATTCACAGAATTGGAGGAGGAAACAAATGGATAAAACTGGAAGAACTTAGTGACAAAAAATTAAGACAAAACCTTGATCTTGATAACGTTGGTGAAATGTTACCTGATCTGAGAAGGTGCAGGTGAAGATAAGCTAAATGCTAGAAGGATGTAGAAAGGTGGTGGTGACAAGATTTATTTATTTATTGAAGAAAAGGGTGCTGAGGCTTCAGGATTTGATAAGACTTGATAATACATTATGATAAACAAAACAATGAATTTAGGATGGAGAACTGCTGCTTACAAGAAGCAAGAATTGTTGCACAGAGTCCATGAAATGCAGGCGAGAACCCCCCCCCCCTTTTTTTTGTTTTTTTTGTTTTTTGTTTTGGTTAGGTCATGTTATGTAGCTAGAAGTACAATGTTAGGAAGAGTTGTAGCTCACTTCAGAGTCAGAAGGCATGAAGATATTAATAGGGCAAGAACAAGATCCTTCTGGTAGTGACAGGAAGGAAGGAGTAGTATCATGGAGGTAAATCAGTGTCTGAGGTGGTGGTTTTTTATACTTCTTATGCTATAAAGAATTAATGTTGGTACAGAAAATGGGTTCTAGCTTCCTGGGAAAAAATCTGGATCGGATTAGTCAAAGTTCTAAAGTAGAAAGTACAGATAATTATTTTCACAAAAAACATGAGGAAAAGGGATAGTTCAACAAGCTAGATTAGCCAGTACCACTATAAAATGTGCTGCTTTTAGAAAAAAATCTTGTCCTGATTCAGAGTAAATTTAATTGCAATCTGGAGAAATGTCCAGGAATGAAAATAAAAGGATTAGGCAAGCAAATGAAAGGGATTGGATGATTTTATAAAAATATTAGTGTAGATAATCAGTTGATTTGGAATTAACTGTGTGAAAAAGGTGATCTCATAGAATATTCTATTGTATGATTATGTCATTACGATTGGTTACCTTTTATGTATCATATTAAGAATTTATGTACTGCCTATAAAAGTAATAGCAGATATAAGAATACAAGTGAGATAGTACAGTTAAAAATTAGATGAAGAAAATCAAGCATATATAATTCAGAGTTTGCTCCAGAGTTGACCATTTAATCAAGAGGAAAAGATACAAGTTATTGCTTAAGGAAATAGAACATATGGTAAAAACAAATGAGTTGGTTCTCCTGGACTGTAACTTCAACCATCCATTTATTGGTTGGGAAAAGTATGTAGAATAATATTGATGTCTAAAAATGTTTTTAAATTTCATGGAAAATATTTCCTGTCTCAAAAGGTAGAAAGTGCAAATAGTGGAGTAGTTATCCCAGACCTGATACAAATAGGGAGGAAATCTAGGTGCAACAAGAACAAATTGTTTTGAATATTGTAGCATTACGGACATAGCTATATGTCAGTACTTAAATTTAAAATGACAGATAAGAACTTTAAAACTTTATGTGGGGGGAGGTGTTTGTTATTTGAAGTGGGAGAGTACCTGTAATGACATTGCCCTACTCAAACTTCAGGGAGGTAGGTGCTGGGCTTCTTAATGCAGTACTGCTCCTGGGACCTGTCTTGTGGGCCACCTTTTGGGATCTGTATTGGCTAGTATCCTGTGAGCAATTTTGAAGATTTTCTTTCTTCCCATTTCCAGCCCCTTCTTCCTGTTGGGAAGGTAGCTGATCTGCATGCCCTTCCTCCTCTCCCCCCAAAGAGAGAACAGTTCCCAGCTCTTTCCCTTTAATCTTGGCTGCAGGAATAAGGATGGGAGGAGGACAAAGGAGTTGCCCTTCTCCCTCCCTCCACCCAGAAATTTGTTAAAAGAATCAGATTACACAGTACTGCCTCAGATTACATACTACCAGTAAACACTTGATCTCCCACTGTCAGTGGTAGGTTAGTACAAAGATCAAGGACAGAGTATGACCATTGTGAAGAAATCAAACTTTTTAATAAATAAGGAAAACTAAAAACACTTTTTGTTGCATTCAGCCTCATTCATTGGGAAAATGTGCTTGTTTTTAGCACTGTTGATGCTTCAACTCTTTTTGCTTTTGCTTCATTATTCTCCCTTCTCAGTATCTCTTCCCTTTCCATGTGCCTGTTTTGTTTTTCCTTTTTTTCCTTCACTTTTCTATTCCCTGTGGGCAATAACTTCCAATTCCTTCCATCTCCCTATTTGCTAACAGTCAGTAATTAAACAGTTTCATATTAGTGTTCAAACTATTGTAGTGGTAACACTACAATGAGGTGAATGAAGAAAGTGGTGTTCGCATCATTTTCAGGCGGTTAGCAAACTAGTGAAAACTATACAACATCTTTTTCCCGTTGATTTCACGTGTTACAAATTATCTTTGCAACCAGGAAGTTTAGAAACTGACCTATAAATAAAATCTTGGGTTCTGCAGAATCTGAGTTTATAAAATAGGCTACATAAATATACCATGTGAAGTGTTTGATATCACCTCACTATATGAGCCAAGAAGCCTCTTCCAAACCTATGTATGACTACATTTTTGACATAGGAGTGATGAGTTCCATGTCGTTAGACATTTTCTTGAGTACATTTTGTGGGGGTAGATGAATATGGTGAAAAATAGAGTAGAGCTGACAAGTTAAATCATGGGTTCCAGAGAAAACAGAAATTTAGCAGTACTGCTAGGGGACAAAAAGGACAGTCAAGCTTTCAGGAAGAACTTTAATTCCTCCGTGGGTTATTAGTTTAGTTTTACTAAAATTGTCTCTGATATGGAAACAACGTTTATATTTGTACACTGTAAGTTAGAACTGTGCTTATGCTGTATGAGGACATTTGGGGACTAATCAGTAAAAAGTCTGATTAGTTTTATTTAACATCTCAGTGTTGTTGCCAGAGATAAAGAAATAGACTTAAGATTACTCTCCCAGTTTATGCACTGTATTAATCACCCATAACGTTAAAAATAAGAAAATACACCACACAATAAACGACCTCTGAACTTAACATAGAATTTTCTGTCTAACCAAAAATAAAACTATAAAAGCTTCAATCAGACTATCAAGTTCATATCAAATAAACAAGTTAAGATCAAATAAATAAATTATTCTAATATGAATTCTATCTAATAACCTGGGAAGGTGGCCTTCTGCTCACATGCAGGTTCCCAACTTAAAACTGGCTGAAAAACTTAGTATGAAAAGGAAAAATCAGTTCCCAATTCAAGTTCACTAATATTTGAACTACTTATCCAGCAGCATTATGTTCCTAATCCAGTAATATTTTGGTTAATGTCCATTAATAAACTTCCATGTTGTCTTAATACTGAGCTGAAATTATTTGCTAATACTCTTTAACATCTATTTACACAAAATGGGAAATAAATGTTATTTGTGGGTACAAAACAATGTTAATGATTCTTGGGATGTTTTACTGATCGCCATGGCTTTGCCTATGATGACTCTGACTTTTTTAATTAAAATAGAAAAAGAGATAAAGCACCCATAACAAAGAGTTACCATTTTTCCTTTACTTCTGTAGTCTCTTATAACTAATACTATTTAAAGCTAGGGGTCAGAGCCTATAAATCCTTACTATTGCATGTAGTGGCTCTCTATGAAGCACAGTCTTGCTGACTTTGCCGCAGGATCTGACTTGAAGTCGATATCACATTTTTTTTAATCAAAGTATTGCTAAATTTGTCAGGTGTCTTATCAAGTCATCCGTGAGATACTATCCAGTCGCTATTACTGTTTCTCCCCTCCTGCCCTCCCCTTCCCTCCATGTTTTTTCTAAGCACTTTTCAATTTGTACAAGTGTTTGAGCTCTCATGATACCCTTATTCTCATGGGTTTGGTACATTAAACAACTTGATGAGACTCTTGCCCACAGAATTTAGATGGTGAGACTTTGTAACCACTGTGCCATTGGAAATTATATACCTTTTGAAGAATGCAATGTATAGTCCTTTTAGAAACTCCGTTCTAGGCTCATTGTATAATGACTACTTTGGTGAGCCTTCATCACCTCTGCATAGAAATATCAAAGATTTTCCTCCTTTAAAAAAATCTTTAAATTAAGTGGCTGTTTGTTTGCTATTAAAATTGCTTTAATAGCAGATAATTATTTTAATAGCAGAACAGCAGCTTTTCTTAACTTGGGGGAATTATCTAATTTAATGAGGAAGAACAGAAAATATCCATCTATAACAAAATGTTGTAAAAATGCCATGGAGATGATCTCTAAACAATTAACCTAAAAGTTACGATCTGAGTAAAAACTAGAGCATGCTACAAAGTGCTTTTTTAATATACTGCACCAGCAGAGTACATTATGTAAATAAGGTAAAATATCGTGCCCTTTTGTTTTCCCCAAGAGGTTTTGTTTTCAGAATAGATATTTTTGCCCTCTGTTTTTTCACTCTGCTAAACAGCCCCTAGTAGAACGAATCCTTCTGCTTTTTCACTTTTGTAAATCAGAAATAACTATTGAAGTCTGGGAGCTACTAGTGTGAGAGGAATCTTGGGCCCTTTGTCTGCTAAATTTCAGTGTAATTCCATATTTTATGGCCCAGTGTCTTCCCCATTAAAAATAGGTTTTTACCAAAAAAGGACCTATTTAACTGCAGTGCTGCTACTAAAATACCATAGTTTGCTCCAGAATGTTCTAGTATTTTTAGCA